AATGTCTGCTTTTAAAAGCATGCACACTTCTTGTGCATGGCTTTCCTGCAAACAGAACATCTGAGTCAACAGGTTTTCAGGACTGGAAACTCTGAGTGTTGTCTTAATTGTTTATACTGCTGCAGCAAACTTTTAAACAAAAATGCTTGGAGTTCCTTTGCATACTTTGCCTACCATATGCTGTACCAAACAAAACAATGACATTCTTTTAAAACCGTCTTGGCAACAGGAAAAATGCTTTGGCTAGACATCATCATAAAAAGTTGCTGTTAGTTAGATGGCATGGATATTGCAGGATATTGATATCAATGCATGTATAAGCGTACTCACATATACTAACATGTACATATACATAGGATTAAAATGAGTTCTGGTCCTATTCATTTAGGAGCAAGACATTAAAGTAGAACTTTCGAGTTGTTCCCTATAGGCAGATGATGTGAGTCTGAGCTATTAGTGAATATCTGTATTCTGAACTCTTGCTATGTAAGAATCAGGGAACACAGATCTGTGAAATAGTTCAAAATATACCCTATGAAGGTTGCATTTCTTTGGCAGGAGTGATTTAGGGACAGAACCCTTTTTTTTCCCACTCTGCAGAAGTCTGGATTACAAATTGGATCAGCTACAGCAACTTGTCCAGTTCTGTGGAAGTCATCTGACAGTCCCTGCAACTCTTTATTGCCGAAGATGCTGTGTTAAATTGAAAACAAAAATGCCCTCTCACTTCTACAAGTTAAAGCTGCTTCGTCCGATTTTGTAACTTCCACTGTAATTTTTACATGAAAGGGTTGTTTCTCCAATAGTAGGCAGCTCACTTTCTGTCTCTAGAAACTCTCCGAAAAGGTTTCAGTCCTTTTTCTTTCACCATCAGCCCTGCAGTCCAGTACTTTAATGCAAGTACTCTGGCTTCACAAGCACAGTTTGGAGGACTCCTTTGCAGCCTGACTTTCTGCTCGAGATTGGTTAGAGAGCTTCCTCACTGTGTGGCTGTCTGTCTTTAGCAAGTGTAATCTGTAGCCAAGACTAAGTCAGAAAAATCAAATTCCTTCAGAGTGCCCCCCCACCCCGATGCCATTCCCCCTTCTCCCTCCCCCCAAGCCTCCTCCTGTAACCTTGCAGAAAACATTATTGTTGAGGAGAAGAAAAGAAGTTAATTGCAGTTCTGGCAGAAAGGCTATTTTACAGTTTTGTTTTCGAAGCACTCACCTGATTCCGCAAAAGTGATGATTTCTGAGGTTTGCTCCACAACTTCATTCATTTCGGCTCTTCTTCCAACATCATCCTCTATTTCCACATAGCCATCCTCTCCCACCTTTCCCACGTGGAGTTTCTTGATGGCATTTAAAAGTGCTGCCTTGGGCACCGGCTGGGTGATATTAGGTCTGTCCCTCAAGTGCAACATGTTCAGTATGTGCTTCTTTACTGCTTCCACCATCTCAGGCTGTGAGCTGGGCACATCCTTGGAGAGCGTGGCAAGGGCACATGATGGACAGTCAGTGACTGAACTGTGCCCCTCGGATCCTGGGGTTGGGGAACTCCTCACTATAATCCAGGAAAGCACCAACAAAAATCCTCTCTTCAAAAGCAAAGGCATCCTGGCAGCAAAAGTTGTTGTGATTCCCTTTTTAAAAGGCCCTGCTTTTCCTCCCCCTTCACGCACAGTTTTTGTTGTTGTTGTTGTTGTTGTTGTTGTTTTGGTTTGGTTTGGTTTGGTTTGGTTTTTTTTGGGCTGGTTTGTTTTGTTTGTTTGTTTGTTTGTTTTTCCTTCTCTTCAGCAAATTCTCTGGAAAAAGAACCAAAAGTTTTCTGTGAAGTTTTGTTTGCAGGTTCCCCCTCTGCATGCAATAAGTGCTGTAGATGTTTGTGGCTGTCAGGGAGAAGAGTTCTGACTCTGTCTCAGAGTAGGAGAGAGACACAGGGAGAGAGGGAGAGAGAGAGAGAGGACGGATTGGCCTAAAGTGAGTGAGTGAATGAGAGAGGGAGGGAGTTTTGTCTGTGAGTAAAGGCTATGATTAGGAAGGGGGAGGAACAGGCAGGCTGGCTTCCTTATGCTCATTGCTCCCCTAACACACACCTCTCTTCAAATATCACTACTCATGTTTTCTGCCCTCCCCCCTTTCTAAATCTCTTTTCTCTCCTGTACATTTTTTTTTTTTTTTGGTTTTGTTTGTTTTATTCCTTCAACAGTATCACTGGCTTAACTAAACAGAGGAAACATGAATGAATGAAAACGGTGAAACCTTTTATTAATGAGCACCTTGCTCTAGGTCCTGTCTGGTATTGTTAGAGATAGCAAGAGATGTTAAATAGCTTGTGAATGAGAGGGGGCAGGAGGCAGGGGCTCGAAATATTTGGGGCAGAACGTTATTCTGCCTCGAGCGGAAGAGAAAAGGTCTTTTCTGCTCACTTTTCAATGCTGGAGGTTATCAACACTGGCAAGAGATCTGACGGGAGCAAAATAACGCTGTTGTTTGGTGGGCTATATAATACTTGATACGCTCTCCAGCTGCAGGATGCAGTGAGGTTTGAAAGCCCAAGTGAGAGGTGGTGGAGCTCAGATCTGTGACGTGCTAAGGTACTGCCCTCGCACCAGAAATATCCCTGCTTCTGCCCTAGCCTGTGCCTAGCGTTTCTCAAGCAGATATATTTAGGTTTGGGGTTAATCAAGTAACGTCTGAAAAATGCTTTGAAGATGAAAAGTGTTACATGTCATCTGGCCAAATTATACTTGCTCCTGACTCAGGCAAATCCCTCACTGATGCCAATAATAATTTTGTCTGAGTGAAGGCTGAGTAAGATCATCTACATTTGGCCCATTGGTATTGCAAGGCACTTCTCGTTTCATTCAATTAAACCACACAGAGCAATCACGATATCAGAATAAGACATTGCAAATGGAAAGCGATCGAAAATGCCACGGGGAACCAGAGTTTCAACAAGTGTTGGTACATCCTTGCCAGTTTATGCCAGCGAGGGTTTTTTCCCCCTGCGCCGCAAAAGCATTCCCTGTGTCACTGCCGTGACTTTTTTTGCCTTTGTATTCTGCAGCGTCTCCCTTCTGTTCCTTATCTAGCAAGGACGAAGTTAACACATTCCCTTAGGTTTGAACTCGGCAACGCAGAAGGAGAGAACTACGGCTTACTGAGCCAAACTTCTGAGGTTTTTCCCCGCCGCACTTTGACGTTAATAGATTTTCTTAGAGCAGCTTCTACTTTTTTGGTATTCACCCTCTTTCTTTTCCTTTCTCTCAGTCTCTCCCTTGCACACCTCGGTCTTCTCAGGTGTGCTTACCTCCTACCCAGCAAATATGCCACTTACACTGCATTACTGTCAGCCATTGCATTTTAGTGGAAAGGAGTAATTTATAAATATAAGCATTGTAAGTTCTCTAGTTTCCATGAGATGACTACAGGCACATGGTCTGAGAGACAGGCAAGGAATTATAGTTACAGTAAATGAAACATACAGAAGTAATTGAACAATCAACCAAAGTTTTACAAATGTTATATATTGCAAGTCCTTTTCAATTAAGCTCTTTTATAAGTCTTTCACTGTTATAAGGCATCTACAGTACACCGTCATCTGTGTTTTACTGACCTCAGTTACTATACTGTTATATACTGTTACACTTATGGGTCTGTCAGCATTATAAACCCTGCAGCCATTCTTATAAACACATCTTTGTAACACAAACCTCACTATAATACATCTAAATTTCTTGGATCTCATGAACAGCCCAAAGTCTGTTGTAATTATATGAAGTCTGAAAGTCAGCTTGAAATAGAAGTAAAAGTTTAATTGGATGAAAAAATAATTTGAGAGGAAAATATGCATTCATGATTAGATGTATTAACAGATGACATAATTAGAGCGGTTATTTATAGTTCTCACATAGCACCTATCCCAATAGTGTCTGATGAAAAGTAAGGGACAGGCATATAGCAACATAAAATATAGATATGTATATTTGATTTCGTGATGCGGGGTATGCGCTGCTTGCCATATATATTAGGTACACTTATTACACACAGTCTCTATTACGTATAGATATAGCATATTATACTTGCATGCCATGATGATTATAGACTGAACATTAAAGCAGAACTTTATATAAAACATTATTTTCTAAAAGCGAGTCTACTGATTGTGCCTATATATAGTTCGTTCATACTTACATCCATACACGTATATATGTTCATGCTTAAAAATATAGAAATGATGGTTCAGAGTCTTTCTATAAAATTTCATGAGCTGCAAAGCTCTGTTTATGCATTCATTCAAAGCATCCATGACAATATGCAACAACATGCACCTTAATTAAAAGTTTTAGTTTTAAAAGAAAAAAAAAACTGATTTAAAGTTGTTACCTCTCCAGTCCTCACACTCTCAGAAGGAGACTGCTGTATTGTGCATTAAGAACTGCTCAAGTTCCTCTTTGTGGTATTCATAATGCGAAGCTTTATACTGTACTTCTCATGTCTACACTCACAAAATAATGTCTGTCAAAAGTAAGGGGGCCGGATCACTGCGCGGGATTGGTTAATCCAGTTACATCAGCAATTGACTGTTTTTCCTGTATGAGACATACTTCTGGTAATTATCTAATGGAAACTCCTAATTGTCTAGCATGACAAAATATCGTGGATTCAACTTGTAGTGGTGATCTCTGTACCCATTTAAAGAACAGAACTTCAAATCAGACTGAAAGCAAACATTGTGAGTCAGGAAGACACACTCCAACTTGTTTTATTGCATAGCTAGATATAGATATTATTAGATGTAGATACCACTGATTTAGTTCAGATACAGTATTTGCCAGATACTTAATTACTAGTTAGCAAATTGTTTTATTCCTCTTTCATACCAAGGAAATATCAGATAATCTATGTGCAAATCTGGACTTTTTTCAAATTCAGGAAAATGCATTTGATTCAGAATCCTTTTTGGAGGATTCAGTCTCTGTGCGATCCCTTAGAATCTCTTTCTGTTAACTTAGAGGTACCTTTAAAGCTCTTCAAAAATGAATCATATTGCTGTTGTCCAAGTCCCATGGCTTCCTTACACGCAGAGTGCATCACACTTAAAAACTGTTGAGACTGCTAAAAATAAGTTACAATGAATGACACATCATCTTTTTTGCAAGTTTGATATTAACACATATGAAATAAAATTCAATTTGGATTTCAGTTTACATTAGTGAAAATCAGAAATAATTCTGTGTCTATTAGGCAGTGCAAAAGTAATATATACAAGGTCAAAAGCATATCCAAATTCCATCTCCTTTCTTAAACACACATAATCACTGGATTTATGTGGTACCGTTTATGACAAATGGCATGATCATGCAGTCTTTACTCATTCAAAACACCCACTGATTACCAGAAAATCCCCATCCTTCAGATTTTTTTTTTTGGCCTGAATCGTACTTATAATTGTATTTTTATGTCCTGTTGGTAATGTAGATCTGATCTGTCTTGGAATATGGCTGATCTGGATCAGGAAAGAAGGATATGAAATTTTCAACTTGCAGTGGTACCAGGGAGTGCTTATAGCAGCACTGATCGCGGTTGAGGTACGTGCTGAATTCACACAACAACTTTGGTAAAATGAGCAAAAAATTAAGAGTTAATGGGAAACGTATGCCCAGGTAGGTTGTTTTGTTTGCAGGTCTAATATGCATATAATAAGTTTTCAGGCTGCGACATGCTGTAGATTGAAGCCTCTTGAAACAGGTTTCAGTAGCTTTGCTGCAGTCTGACATTCACAGTTGCAGTTGTTACAAAGAATAGGGGTTTTTGTTTGTTTGTTTGTTTGTTTGTTTTTCCTTCAGGGACAGTGAGAAACAGAGTGAGAAGAACAAATAATTCCATTCCAGAGGCGCACGCACATACTTAGTTACTTGCAGGACAGTATCTTTAACTGGGATCCTAAAACAAAGTTTTGGCAAATAACTTTTCCAGCAGGGAATTCTCTGTTCCCAGGGCCAAACTGCGTTTGGTTTTAAGTGGCATCCTAAAACTCTTTGCAATTAGTTACATAGTGGTAGTGCAGTGGCTACTGTAATTTGGCAGCAGACGTGTGTACTCAGTAAGAGATCTTGTGCTACACGGACAGTGGAAAAATTGTCCTGAAAATAACAGGGTTATCTTCTCCTCGGAGTCAAAGTGTGAGATGCTCTATTCCCACCAGCTGGCACTGGTGACCACTCCTGACCACTGCTATATCCATGCTGATACAGCAACCACTGGTTTAGTATCTTCTTCCACAGCTGTAGCAGATCACAACATCCCCAGTAAGAAAGCGTGGTCTGTAACAAAAAAAGAAGGCTACCGAGTGAAGCACAGCAAACATGTATATGATTTATAGTGCAGGATAATTTCTGAAAGGAGATTAGGAGAAGTGAAAAGCATTATTCATTTCAGAGCATGCTCCTTATTGCCTCAGGGAATATGTGTATAGCTTTACCAAAGGCCTAATGAAAGCTTTGCTCAGTGACTAATTTTTTTTCACACCTATTTCTCTCTTTATAAATATTTTTCTCCCCACCCCTCTGCTTCTTTTCATTTTGTTGAACACAGCAACACCTGCTGGCAGTGGTCCGGGAGTACTGCTGGAAAGACCCACAGATCTAACTCTTCAGACCAGCTGCCATTAAGCACTGCCAAGCCATATTAATGAGCTGCCTCTATTTTTACCCCTTCCTGCC